TGCACGTACTCAGTTCCTGAACAATTACCCATATACGTATGCTTTGGTTCTGTCCCCTGGGAAACGAGGTCAAAATGACCTCTTACCTCATCTGATCTGGCAACAGCTCTCCAGTCAATTATTGGTAATAGCCCTTTCAAATAAGCCAATCACAACCCCCCCTTGCTTCTGTGGCCCCTTTAAAAGTAGACTGTACCCGCTATTCGAGGTCCCTCGGCTTCCCGAATGCTGGGGGACCCTGTCATGACAGAATTAATAAAATCCTCATGCTTTTGCATCGGCTGTGGTGTGTGGTCTCTGGGGGCGACTCCTTCTCGGTGTTTGGACGCCAGAGTCCAACATTATGCATATAAATGTGACATCTCAGATGAAATAGATCTTTTAAAGCCACAAACTACCAAATCTCAACAGATATGAGCATTTACTACCTATCTAGCCCAATAGCTATTAAAAATGTATTTGAAAGGTTTCTGTTTTGTTTGGTTTGGGTCTTTGGTTTTTTGAGACAGGGTTTCTCTGTGTAGCCCTGGCTGTCCTGGAACTCACTCTGTTGTAGACCAGGATGGCCTTGAACTCAGATGGCCTGTTTCTGCCCGACTGAGACTCCTGGGATTAAAGGGGTGTGCAATCCCTTCTATTCTAGAATAACAAAGAAAAAGGAACACATTTGTGTCAAGGGTCCTCCAAGTCATTCCCAGGCTTGATGATTCAGCACAGGGTCTCACATAAAGTAGCAGAGAGTCATGCTCCTGGCGATGATTCATTAGGGCAAAAGAATATAGACCAAAACTAGCAAAGGGTGAAGTTCAGAGGAAACTACAGTAAGCTTCCAGTACTTCCCTCCCCCAGTAGAGAGACCCAAGGGATATGCTAATTCCTGCAGGAACAAGTTGTGACACGTGTGAAATGTTGTCTACAAGGGAAGTTTGTTAGAAACTTAGTTCCTGAGGCAATATTGGGGGTTGCTCATGTAGGCACTTTCTGCCTAGCATTTACTTAAAATTCTAGATTCCCCATAGGAAAGCAGATAGGTGTTCACCATAAAGCATATTGTTTAGACAAACAGTTTAGGTACAGTGTCTTATTTAGTCTGGAAATTGTAGGAACCTTCCCCAACCCATGTTCCAAATGCCATGCAAGGATTCACCTTGCAACTGAGCCTTGCAAAGACAGTAGGAGTCAGGCTTGCTGTTTTCTACAGCAGCCTGTAAATCGGGAGACTTGAGTGTTTGTCCTAGGACACACATTTCTGCAAACAGACTATGCACTGTAAGTCACAAATATCAGTTCTGAAAATGTAAGGACATTCCTAAAACCAAAGTTGCTACATTTCTACTAAAGCCCTGTTACTATTTTATGAGACCACCATTTTCCTAATACCAAAACTGGACAAAGGCAGTACCCAACTCCCTCCAAGACAAAGC